TAGTAAAATATACTTATGTTTCCTTTATGCAGGTCCTGAAACGGCAGGGTTATGATGCAGCCTGTGATATCTGGAGTTTGGGCATTTTGCTGTATACCATGTTAGCAGGGTAAGTGCAAAAATTTCTTAATATCTGTATCCTGGTCAATCTTTGAAGCCAATGAACAGCAATATAAAGACAGAAACACAATCTAGACATTATAGTGAACACCACTTAAATTACTAAGATAAAGGTTCCCCTTGCACATACATGCTAGTCATTTCCAGCTCTAGGGAGTAGTGCTCTTCTCCGTTACAAAGCCAAAGAGCCAGCGCTGTCCGAAGACATCTCCACGGTCATGTGGCTGGCATGACTAAATGTCGAAGGCACACAGAACGCTGTTACCTTCCCACCAAAACGGTCCCTATTTTTCTATTTGCATTTTTACATGCTTTCAAACTGCTAGCAGAAGTTGTGACAAGTAACGGGAGCTCACTCCATTACATGGTGCTAGGCATTCGAACCACCAAACTGTTGACCTTTCTGATAGACAACCTCAGCGTCTTAGTCACTGAGCCATAGTTGGGTGCTAAAGATTCATGACTGAAATGGTCAGGTTAATTAAAGGCAAGTTACGGCATATTATTTGCAGTTGTTTATTCCAGTTGATGTCCATCTTGAAATGACTATGTTTTGAAATTAAAGAAAGTAAATACTGTATGTTTATCAAAATATGTAGATTTTATAGAGAAGATGTATACTTTGTTTGATGACCATCACATTTTGTTATATTAGTATTATAAAATCTTTCATAGTAAAAAGTTTTATAATAATGGCTCTTAAGTGTCACTTTGTATCACAAAAGAAAAAGGAACTGTATCTTATAGGAATTGTATCCAATCCTGCCCACCTTTTTTTAGGACTTCAAGTTTTGGCTTTTAGATATATTTAGATATACCGTGTTTCTCCAACAATACGGCCTCCACCAATAGGAAGGCCCAGCATGTTTTTGGGGCATAAAATCAAATTAAGCCCCTCCCCCCAAATTTAGGCCTATCTTAAAATATGCAAAATAAGGGGGAAGGGCAGGAGACTTGCCGTTAGGAGCGCCCGGCGGGCAGGAATTCCTCACCACCAGCCGCTCCTAACGGGCGATCATGGCGAAGCGCGGGGAGCTCCCTACTCCCACCAAACACCTTTGCTGCAGACACCTTAGGCACCCGCCGCTGTTGCTTTCCCTTCTGCCCATTCCGCCGCCACGTTTGGAGCTGGCGCTTCCGTGTTTGGAGTGCCGCCGCCATTTGGAGCTCCAAACGCGGAAGTGGCAGCTCCAAACATGACGGCGGGCGATCTTTTTATTTTGGTCCGCGCGAAGTTCAGAGCGAGCAAGAGAGGGAGACTGCGATGCCTCCATCCGAGATGGCAACCTCACTAGTGGATCACAACATGGCTGGAAGCCCGAATCGGCGGGATACGATGGCGATCTTTTTGGAGCGAGGAAAGGGAGAGAAGAGTTGCGAGGCGTAATTTGCAGGAGGAAGTAGGTGTACCCCACGGCAGGGAGCCCAAGGAAGAAGGGCTGGTAGGCAACGGAGAGCGTCCCGTAGCTCCGGAAGCAGCCTAGAGACGCGCCCGGGAAGAGGCGCAGATGCTGCCTTGTAGTCCCCAAACCAACTGCGTGCGCCGCCTTTAGTTATGTGCGCTCCGCTCTCTGGGCATCTCCGTGTGATTGTGACCCTGTCCTTTCCACCTGGCGCCCTTGCTGCTTTCTGGCTCTTTAGCGACCGGCTTCGCGTTTGGAACACGTTCGCGTTTGGAGTTGGTTTGGGGACTACAAGGCAGCATCTGTGCCTCTTCCCGGGCGCGTCTCTAGGCTGCTTCTGGAGCTATGGGACGCTCTCCGTTGCCTACCGGCCCTTCTTTCTTGGGCTACCTGCCGAGGGGTACACCCACTTCCTCCTGCAAATTACGCCTTGCAACTCTTCTCTCCCTTTCCTCTCGCTCCAAAAAGATTGTCATCGTATCCCGCCGATTCGGGCTTCCAGCCACGTTGTGATCCACTAGTGAGGTTGCCATCTCAGATGGAGGCATCGCAGTCTCCCTCTCTTGCTCGCTCTGAACTTCGCGCGGACCAAAATATCGCCCGCCGTCATGTTTGGAGCTGCCACTTCTGCGTTTGGAGCTCCAAATGGCGGCGGCACTCCAAACATGGAAGCACCAGCTCCAAACGTGGTGGCGGAATGGGCAGAAGGGAAAGCAACAGCGGCGGGTGCCAAAGGTGTCTGCAGCAAAGGTGGGAGTAGGGAGCTCTCTGTGCTTCGCCATGATCACCCTTTAGGAGCGGCTGTTGGCGAGGATGCAAGGGGGGGAATTAAGTCACCCCCCGAAAAGACGGCCTAGCCGTTTTTTCGGGGCTCAAAAAAAAATAAGGCCCGGCCTTATTATGTGAGAAACACGGTATTAGATATATTTCATTCTGCTTCTTAGAACAATTTTAAAAAAGCTAAAATCTAGGACAAATTTACCTTATAAACACAATATGTCTATTTTTGTTGATACTGTAGTATAGAAGATTTAAAAAATTGATTTGAAATGAAAAAAGAGAAGAAAAATGCCTGAACCAGAATTTTTAAAAGGGATTCCAAAAAGAAGCATGCTAGCTTCTGTCAGAGCTACAAGAATAGTGGAGGCTGTGCTGTTTTTTTCTCCAAAGGGTGCTACTCCGAAGAAGGTGCTGGCCAGCTGAGAGATTAGGAATTGGAGGTCTACACACATAAAGAGCACAACATTGAGGGAGGCTATTTGTATGCAAACCAGATATATTATGCTTTGATAATGCTACAGCGGTTTCACATATTATTTATTGCTTAAAAGGTTCACCCCTTTTGCAAATGGACCAGATGATACTCCAGAGGAAATTCTGGCTAGAATTGGCAGTGGAAAATATGCTCTAGCAGGAGGGAACTGGGATTCCATATCTGATGCTGCAAAGGTAAAATAATGCATCATAATATGGTGCTTGTGATTGTCATCCATTTGTTTTGCTTGTGTTGCTCATGATTGGCCTCCATTTATTTTAAATGAATGCAGAGAAAATGAACAACAATATATTACAGCAGTTTCTTAAAAAACCCAATAGCAACTATATAAATAAGCATAATTACATCTTGTAAGTTGGAATGCCTCAATAAGGACTATCGTGTTTGCAATTTTTCTGATTGTCCATAACAGTAGAACAATTAACAGAAATTATTAAGGATTAATCACAACATTGAATATGCATTACATCTAAAATGCCTGGTTGATCTCATGTATTGCACAGGTGCCATATTTTGTAGCATTATTACAATAGTTTGGAAACAATCACAGGACAGCAATGTGTGTCTTAAGTTTTCTTTAAATTAGAACTAAATGAATGACTTGATTATATTTATCTTCATTTAAATATCTTAACAGCCTTTTGGGTTTCTAAACTTCAGTGCAGTTCAGAATTAGTACAGACAAAGAAAAAAGCAGAAGGAGCTGTTTCAATCTTTTTTTCCACTTTGGCAAAAGTAAACTCTAACCCACTGAATCAGGTCAAAGTCTGATTTATCAAGCAGCTTGTTTTCAGCAATGAATGGTCAGATGCTGTTGTGAATCTACATGAAGTTCATTATCCTACATTTTGGATGTTTGAGGAGTTTGATATAGTTGCAGATTTTGACACACATTCCCCCAAGTTGCATGTCCCAAGGAAGTATATTGTATACATCAAACTTTATAAGTCTTATATAGGTGTATTCAAAGTAATTCTCAGTGAATTCAATGAGTTTTGTTTTCACATTAATGGGTATAGGATTACCATTTGATTAGTGATCTACCAGTTGCCACAGTATTGAATATTGTAACACAATTCTTGACTCATTTTTTCTAAGTCTTAAAATTAATTTGAAAACATGCTTTTAGAGAGAAATTGTAACTAGCAGTACATCTAGTCTTCATTTAATGACCACAATTGGAACCAGCAACTTGGTCATTAAGTGATTACTAAGTAAAAAAAAATGTGCTTACAATTTTATTTTAGTTTTTCTTTGCTTTACAAAATTAGTAGAATATGGCTCCAAATAACAGAGTAAGATCAAATGGTGGGGAAGATTTCTGGAATTTGACTTATGAGGAAGGTGGTTAAAAGGGAGAATCTTATAATCCTTTTTCCCCAATTCGCACACCCTTTGGAATGCTGACCCCGGGGCTAGGATAATTAGCAAGAAGAGAATTATTGTTTGTTACGTTCATTGAAGAGAAAGGGATTACAAAAGAAGAAGCAGGCCAACAATGGGGAATCAACATCAAAAGCAATGCACTAGTTTAACTGTTTTCCTAGCATACTCTTTACTGCAACCGCTTAGAAGACAAAAACTCTTCACTGTGAAATTGATTAGGGTCTTGTCCCTGTCAGCCAACAGCACCAATGAACTGGGGGATTCTAATCAATTAAGATAATAGAGTTAAGCTTGTTAACTTGTAGTTAGCACATTTAAGGGACATGTTGCACCATAGAGAAAAGCAGTTTAGGAAAAGATACTATAGCTTATCTGAGCAAGGGGTGGGGGAGCGGGGAACAAGTCAGAGACGGGGCAAGGCATACTAACTGTAATGGCAAAACCAGAGAAAACTCAGGTCATAAATGCAGACATAAGTCACAAAATTACTTTTTAATTACTGTTGGAACTGTGAACAGTCTCTCTCCAAGGCAGCTGCTAAATGAGGACCTATAATATATTTCAATTCAAATTAGAGTTATGGATGGGCAAGGTCATATGTGATACATATCACTAATAAAGTGAACTTCTCCAATTTTCTTCCTCCCTTCCTTCTATGTTGATTTCTGGCGATTGTCTGTACAATCTGCAGTTAGCTCGACAAAATTTCAGACGTGGTTAGTCATTGTCTCGTTCTTACTGCTATGAGAGAGTGACTAGGCCAAAGTCATCCAGCTACTCTATATCTAACGTAGGATTAAACTAATTGTTTCTTAATTTCCAGCCAGGTGCCTTAAGAACTACACCAGTGATGGCTAACCTTTTCGGCATTGAATGCCCAAAGCACGTGTGCACACATCCTCAAAATGCAATATGTGTGCATCCCCTGCACATGTGTGCACATCCCCGCACATATATATATATCCCCACACATGCATGCATGTCCCACACATGCCCCCTGCCCCCATGGATGTGAGCATGTCCCCTACATATGCACCATCCCTGCACATGCATGTGCATCCCCATACATGCATGGCATTCCCTGCATGCACCTGCCTCCTGTGCATGCGTGACAGAGACCCAAAGACTCTGGCCAGCAGGAGTCACGTGCATGCATTTGCAGTGGAGCGGAGCTGAGCTGTGGCGACAGCTCATGTGCTCAGAGTGGGCTCTACATGCCACCTGTGCCATAGGTTCGCCATCACGGAACTACACCAAACTGTCTCCCTATCTCAATAAATAGATCCTATTTATTATTAAAGTAGCAGAAAATACATCGTTTATTCTTTTGTAGGCAAGGCAAAACTCGTGTCAGATCAATAATGTTGCAACCCAAGCCACATGAATAATCTTTAGCTTCATCTTCCAAGAAATCAGAATTAAAGCTCTTTTTTTCTTATGAATACAGTTTTAATATAATATCCTGATAAGGAACATTTTGAGGCTCTGAAGTGTTTGCTTTTCTCTTTCCTCCTAACATCAGAAGAATTTAATTACCTTAAAAAGATGTAGAGTGATTGTTATGGGCTGACTTAAGCCATTTTCCGTTCCTAACATCCACACCTGAAATCATAATCATAATTATCCAGAGTGCTTATTATTTTTAGTGAAATAACATTAATTTAATCTTCTCTATTTTTTTTTTTCAGGATATTGTGTCAAAAATGCTTCACGTAGATCCCCATCAGCGCTTAACTGCAGCCCAAGTTATAAGGCATCCATGGATAGTAAACAAGGAGTATCTCTCCCAGAATCAACTCAGCAGACAAGATGTCCACCTTGTAAAGGTATGTCTGAATCAGAGGTGGTATTCAGCAGGTTCTGACCAGTTCTGGAGAACCGGTAGTGGAAATTTTGAGTAGTTCGGAGAACTGGTAGAAGAAATTTTGAGCAGTTCGGAATACCACTTCTGACTGGCCCTGCCCCCATCTATTCTCTGCCTCCTGATTGGTTGGGTCTTCTTTTGTTGCCCTGCACAGGAGAACGGAGCTGAAAAGCAGGTTAGTGGGGTGGGGAAAGAATGGGGATTTTACAGTATCCTTCCCCTGCCATGCCCACCAAGCCACGCCCACAGAACCAGTAGTAAAAAAATTTGAATCCCACCACTGGTCTAAATGCTGCCCCTTTTGATTCCTAGACATAGAAAGTTTGGCGATGGTCTCCTAAGATGCCTAAATAATTAACCTGATTTTACATACAATCAGAACCAGCAACATTATTTCATTTTGCCCTAGAATTTTTAATTCTCTCCTGCCCCCCCCCCAAAAAAAATCTCAAAATTGTTTTTTTTAATAAATAACCTAATTCTTACAAGGTCACTTATATTCATGCAATCTTATGAGGAAATGTCAATATCTGTCAGGATGGGCTTAGTGTAAAGTTGACGTGAACTGCCAAAATCTGCTAATCTCAAAAATCATTTTTTGAGGAAGAAGGAACACAGTAATCATGCAACGATCAGATTCTAAAAAGTTGCAGATCTCTGTCATGAATTATTTGTCAGTTAGGATAATGAACTGGTAGGAAGAGGGACACAGTGGCCTAGTGCTTAAGATGCTGGGTATGTTGAGCAGACATTTGGCAGTTTGAGACCCAAGCATCGTGATGGGGTTTGCTCCCATTCCTGCCCCAGGTCCTGCCAACCTAGCAGTTTCAAAACATTCAAATGCAAGTAGATAAAGAGGTACACTTTGATGGGAAGGTGACAGCACTCCATCTGCCTCGGTATATAGTCATGCTGGCCATATAACCACAGAAACTTCTTCAGACAACACTGGCTCTTTCGGTAGGAAATGGAGGTAAGCACTGCCCATTTTGCTTGGCATGGGCCAAGTAGTTTAAGGACCAGCTTGAAAGCTCTAGTTGAGAGGGAGAATATTTTCTTCTCACAAACCAAAATAACCCGTCAGCCAAACAATATCTGGGAAGTGTATCTTTCTTATTGATTGATTGATTGATTGATTGATTTGATTTGATTTGATTTGATTTGTCAATTGCTTACAAGATGATAAGTATAAGAATAAACATGAGTATGAATACCGGAATTAGGTATGAATAAATGGAGACAATAGGATAGGGATGGGAGGCACAATTATGCACTTATTCACGCCCCTTACAGACCTCTTAGGAATGGGGTGAGGTCAATAGTGGATAGTTAAAGTTAAAGGAGTGGGTGTTGGAGGATCTAACAACAGAGTCAGGTAGTGCATTCCAGGCATTGACCACTCTGTTGCTGAAGTTGTACTTTCTGCAATCAAGTTTGGAGCAGTTTACATTGAGTTTGTAAAGGGGAATAACCTCTAGTTGCTAGGTTGCCTGTGAGACCTATCTCCTCTCACTTAAATGGACTATCTATGAAAGTCATCCTCTTTTTGTCTGGAGACATGGCTTCCTTGCCCATTGTTGTCTTGATTAAGGCATGTAATTGTCTAGATGGTTTTAGGCACAACTTTTTGGGATAGTGTTAGTGTTTGGAGCTTTAGGTCAGATGCATGCTGAAGGTATGCAGGTGATAAGAACCTGCAGGCCCAATCCAGAGAGCCCTCCTAGTCTCACCCATTACAAAGGCTTGAAGCCATTCTCCTTTCATCCATCAATGGCAGACATGCATGTGATCAATTAACTTGAAGGATTCCCAGATGGCTCAGTGGAATTGGTTATGAAGTCACTAGGAGGCTGGCAGATCCATCCTTTTTGAACCTGATGCATCATAATAGTGGTAACCAGTAAAGCTACTGGCAAGCTATTTCGCATCCTCTGGTATAAATTGTTGCATTTCTTGCTTGCAACTCCTTTGCCTCTTGCCTAACACTGTCAAAAGTATTGTGCACAAAAGATATCTATGTGCATTGTATATAAAACTACATTTTTCTGTTAAAATAGGAAGGGTAAAATGTAATTTGCTGGCCACCCCAATTCCAGTATATTAGTTTTGAGCAGTATATCAGATTCAGTTTTGAAAAGATGCTTTGGATTACAGGAGCATGAATGTAGCACATCTGCGCCTCTTTAAAGCAGCCATGCCTTTTCCTAGGAAGAGGGAAAATGTGATTTTTCTGAAATACTACATAATCTCCCTCTTTTTTTAATTTTGCAGGGTGCCATGGCAGCCACCTACTTTGCTTTAAACCAAACGCCTCAAGCACCAAGGCTGGAACCGGTATTGTCCTCCAACCTGGCCCAGCGAAGGGGGATGAAAAGATTGACCTCAACGAGGTTATAATGGTCCCAAAATGGCCTGCTTAAATAAAAAGAAAACATTTGCCCAATATATTGATCAGAGAGGCTGGTCTATATTGTTAATGTTGCAGGACTCCTGGCACATACATTGTTTTAATCAGCAAAACTTCAGTTTAAGGCAAAGTTGTTCTTTGCTTTCAGATATTTTTGGGTTCTGTTTTTTTACATTTACCAACAGGATGGCAAATACTCAGAAACATGCCATATTTTTCAACTGCTGTATTGCTTATTATTTAAGTACTGTATCAATTGCTGATATTGTGTTCTCTCCCCTCGTCCTTTAATCCAGATGCTTTTTTTGGAATTATAGATGCTCTGTAAGACCACTTTTTGTAACAGATTCGATTTTAGATATCAGCTCTACCAGCATCTATGTTTGGTGTATTGTCACCACTGTCATTAGCTGTCTCCAAAGAGTTGAAGATGTAATGATGTGTGAGACCATGAAAACAGCGTCCTATGAGGAATGAAGAGGGGGTGGGGGAAGAGCTGAAAACATACCTGTGTTATTAAAGGAAAATAATTATGTTATGAGTTTGGACCAGATGAAAGTATAGAAAGGAGATTAGAGTTGTGCTCATTGACAAAACAATCTTGAAGGGTCCTATCTGATAAGGCCTCCTTTTTTGATCAAAAATGCACAATCTCATCTTGGAAAAGGGGATATTTTTTAATGGAAGGTGACTCTGTAGTTGGTAGCACTGAAACACTATACATATAGACTCGTCTGGAAGTTTGAGGGGGAACCGGAAGGTAGGACTTCAATCCTATTCTTCCACTGACACATTCATAACTACATGAATGAATACAAGCACTGTGTTTCATAAGCTGTTACAGAGTTTCCTATTATATCAACTTGAGATAGTGATCTTTTGTTTACTGGTTTAATGTTAAAATAATAGCTTATTGTCACAGGCTGTTAAAACCATGTACTGCCCAAGAGAAAAAAAATTGCAGAAGAGTTCAGCAAGCAAAGTTTGTATTATTTCTTGTATCACAGGGAGCAAGCATGTATACAATTTCCTTAAAAGTCTTGAAAGATGATTGAAAAAATTGGTACATTTTATAAATCACCGATGCTTCATAACCATCATTAACTCAGATTGTCTCCATTGGCTGTAACCAAGTGCAGATTTAAGCATGCTCAATAGTACAATCCTATACTTTATTTGGAAGTAAGTTTCATAATGTGACTTTTTTCAAGTATGTTAGTATAGGATTGCACCCTAAACCTTTGGAATCTGTGGCCTTTGGAGCATTCAGTTCTGAATTGTATTCTAAAGATTGTATAAGCACTTTACTTGTCTTTTATTTTCAGAATGGATTTTTTTCCACCTGCTGAAAGTATGCAGGAGAAACTGCATCATTTTTCATTTATTCTTGGGGAGAAACTGTGAAATTCAGGGTATTACATCCTACAGATATTTTGTTGTTGAGGAGTAACACCATTTTAGGTGCTAAGCACAGTTTGAGATATTTGTATTAATTGAGCCTGCATACACAAAAGAGCAAGAAACTGCATTAGCTACTGTAGTGTGCTTCTTGGTGTTTGTTTCTGTGTTCAGCAAAATGTTATATTTATTTTATTTTGCCCTTCATTTTTAAATTATATTTTAATGTACATGTTGATGTGCTGTGCACACAGGACTGCAGCAGAGCAGCTGTTCTTCAAGTTTGACTTTTCAAATAAACTAGTGCTGGGAAACACCATAAAGTGAGTGAGATGTCTTAAATATAGGGCGGGTGGAAATACCAGACTGTTTCGAGTATTAGAAATTCTGAATGTGTGGTCCTGCTTATCTGTTGGTAACAGAATGTTCAAAGGCTTTTTCACCTTTCAGAGCCTATAGCAGAATCCGTCTCAATTTAGGACCCTTTTATAAGTAGCAAAAATGGATTTGTCTGCTTTAGATATCTGCTGACAACAGAAAGGTACAAAGAAGCACAGTATTCAAACCAAGTTTGACTGTCGTTTTTAGTCATAGATGCTTCAAAGGGTATCCTCTTTAATTGAGATACTCGTAAGCTGATTTGAAACTATGAAATAAGTTGGAATACAAATAATATGAATCAGAATGCATATATTTAGAAATTAGTCAAGAAGCATGTCATCTTTTCATGGAATTATGGTACATGTGTATATTATTCCCATAGAACACATCATAAAGATATGCGAAGCATTCAAAAAAGACATTTCACAATGCACAATAGGATAAATTATGGGCCACCTTGAAGAGTAAAGCAATTGTATCTGTTGTAGCACCTGATCCACAGGGACTGGGGCAGGGGGAGCATTTTCCTGGTAAAGCACCTGTACTTGTAGTCATCCTTTCCTATAATGATGACACCAAAGTGATGAAACACGTTGAGATGTCATGGTCTTCTTTTTTATACTTGCACTGCAATGTTGCACACAAGTATATAAGGGGGATGTGAATATAAGGGGGATGTGAATGAGAAATGATAAACAGCAATGCAGTGGCATGAATTTTATATTTTTGATATCACTCTCATTTATGAAAGGAGAGAATATGCACTGCAGTGTAACAATGCTGCTTTCATCATTTTGATGAAAGCACTGGGACCCATGGACACCTCTGACTAACTATTGAATAAAAAAGAAAAATGCCCACTAGTTTTTGGTAACTAAAGATATTTTTAAAAGATATTTGAAGAGTTGTGTCAAGATGTGTAGTTATGGTTTAACAACATTCTGAAAATATAGAAATGCAATGCCAGGAGTAACCTAGCTAAAATATCTACAGATACATTTGCAAGAAAGTGAAGATATGAAGGAGCAATATGATAACTGGTGGATACTGTGATGTTAATTCCAAATTACTACAACAAACTTGAATTTTGTGTATCTCTTTGGATCATCAAAACAATCCATCTGTCATCACTAAGAGTCAACAATCACTTGGAGGCGTATAATCAATCTCTTTGAAAACCAGCTTTGAAGAAGCTACATCTCATACATAAGTAAATGGTGAATTTGTGTGACTTCAAGCTGATAAAACAGCAGTCAAATATATGGAGAGGCTGCAACAGAGCTTGAAAATCTTTCAATGAGGTAATTTTACTCAAGCGTTTTTATTTGACTGCACTAGAAAGAAGCAATCACTGGAAGCTATCATTTTTAAGAGATCGTGTGATCACAAGACATTGCAACTATGATAAATGTAAACCAGTTGCCAAGTGCCCGAATTGTGATTATGTGACTATAATGGTTGTAACTTCAAGGATAGGTCATAAATGACTTTTTCAGCATTGTCATAACTTTGAACCCTCATTAAATGAAGGGGTATAAATTGAGGGTTATTTGTAAGCTGGGAAAAGCTATATTCTATGAATAAATCCAGAATAAAAAGGGACATATCCATATATATAAATTAGCTCTTAAAAATGGCAAATCACATGTGCTCATGGCTGAGTTTCCCATGTGCTGTATGTGTTGATCAAACTATAGTGCCTGGGTTCATATCTAATACTAAAATAGAAAGCATAATTTATAAACTACTATGTCTAAGGTCACCAAGTAGGCTGTGCCAAAATCAGTCATATTAGGACGTGGAAGTAATGATCCCAGCCTTACTGTCACATCAACCGAAATGTTCTGTTTTGGTGAGCACATTAGGTAAAAGTTTACATCTCAAAGTCACAGTCCAAATTCCATTCAAATCTGTACACAGCATCAGTGCCAATGATTTCAACAGAGCAGGACGGTCTCATTCTTACATATCATTTTACATTGAAACTATAGAGCTTCATCGTATTGCCTTTCAGCAGCAGTATGCTATTGCAATAATGAACATTGCTAAGCCAGAAAAACTTGCTTTATAGACTGCATATCCTGCCTATCTTAACATGAAGTAAAAACCTGTTTTTACTTGTGGCTGGAACCAGGACTTGTCTTCAGGCACTTCTTCTTGTGTGTTTGAAAGCCCAGGCAAGGACAAGAATTCCTTATTTCTTTCCATTTCATTGTTATCAGCTGTTACGTGAACTAATTTCTGCAGAGTTTAAGACACATCCAACCAATAAACCATTGCCATGGTACAGTGTGTATGTGTGTTTGAGTGCGTGTCCAGTGAGCAAAGTATAAAAGGGAAACATCTTAGAGTGCCCTTGCCCACTTGAGATTACCTCCCCTCCAAATATTGCATGTATTACTGAAGGGATTATATTACATAACCTCCTTCACTGCAGTTCTGCGTCAGGAAAATAATATCCTTAAAAGTGTGGTTCCCGGTTGCTGAAAAATTTTCCACCATACCAAGCATTTCAAACAATAATGCAATTGTTAATAACGTTAATGTTTCTTTTTGTATTTTACTTGCTATTAACTACTTTATCCAAATACAGCAAATAGAAAGGTGAAACGTAAAATGAATAAATGAACCCCAAACATCTGGCTAGGATGTTGATGAACACTTTCTACATGTTTATGGGTGATATTATTCTTAAAGATGTGCATAACGTGTATGGGCATAAATCTAATAATAATAGAAAGATTTGCCTACGAAGGTAAAGCCTGCGTATTAATTCACACACCTTCTTAAAAGATCAGCAGTTCTGACTCCATAGTGAACAACCATCACTTTCCCTTTGATCCCAGTTCTTTTAGAAAGTGTTTAGCTTTCAGACTGATTTCCCAAGCTAGTTACAGTTTAATTTTTTGTTGTTGTTACATATTGATTTAGATTGGCTTTTTAGTGTGCGAGTCAAAGGAACTGAATCAAAATTCTGTTAAAGGGCAAACTACGTCAGATATCCGACTTGTATCATTATTGTAGGACATGAATGAGGTCCAACAGATAAGAGAACTCCACTGCTATTACCCTCTCTTTAAAAAAATGAAACTATTCTATTAATAGTTGGCAGATGTTTCTTACAATTCTTCTACAGGATAAGAGTACAGTGGTATGAGCCAAGTTTAAACTAGAAGAGAAGGAAAGTAATCTCCAGAGCTAAAAGAGTAATAAACAGTTTCATTATCTATCCTTATAAGCAAAGATAAGAGTTGCTATCTCATTTGTTTGCTGGTTATTTAAGAGGCTAAAAGTCATGTAGAGAAAAAAAAAAGCCCAGCCTTACCTAGATTAGAAATAATCTATCCAAGATAGGCTCCTTACACTTATGAAATGGAAAGCTTTTAAAAGTCAGTCACAGTATGAAACCAACAAAACACGTTTAGCCATCTAGAGATGGAAAACCCATGGGCACCTAATTTCCCATATAATTCAAAAAGAAAGCAGAGGAAATCATAAGAGAATCAAAACTAAGCAATGCTGTATGAATTTTCCAATAACTGAGAAGCTATATATACTTAATTCATGACAGTTATACCAGTGACTTTGGATAAAACATCTAATTGTATTGATAATGGTATAAACTGTAGGCAAAGCAATAAACTCTAGCCTAGACTTCTCTGCAATTGCTTTACTATTTGTAGAAATGCATAAATAATCAGAAACAATAGAATCTGTTCATTTCTAAATTTAAAATTTTCTTCAAATATTTTTTCATTTTTAAAAAGGCTTTCCAAACTTCAGTGCAAAAATCCATTTTCTTTTGAGCATCATTTTGGTCATACTGGTGAAATTCAAAGAAGGGCTGCATGACAGACATTATGGCATATAGTGAAGATCAAGATTAGAAACTAAAGCCTTTTCTAAGAGCCACCAGGTCATGGGAAGCAAATATTTTTCTAGAATCCCCATGACAAATTTTCTGGTGCAATGTAGTAAGCTATTATCTTCCTGTTCCAATTTTGTCTGAACTTAGTAGTGACTTCTCAAAAACTATGTTGTCAAGTAGAAAACATTTTAAAACCACCATAATCGAGACCGAGGTATTGTTTTAGTAGAGGCTAACTTTCTGGACTGTTAGTTTTGAGTAATATACTTGCAATTCGCTATGTTAACTCCTAAAATATGGAAAGATCTATTCTTGGGATTATAATGGACAGCAGTGTAAAATGACGGTGTATGTGTGTGTGAATTCTGAACTAGATTTGTTTAGGAAACAAACGGAATATCAAACAATTACTGTATAATGCATCCACTTTTGAAATACTATCTTTAGTTTTGGTAATGTGAAAAATATAATCCTTCAAAAGATGCAGAAACGGGCAACTCAAATGATCTCATTTTGAGCTTGAGGTCTTTTCCCTAGGAAGAAACAAACCAAGTAGAAGGGACTCCCGTATTTGATCAGCAAGTGTTCTGGGTCATCCAAGATCACTGCAAGAAGGTGGACTACGCTTCCCAAAATACAATACGGCGCAAGAGATGGAGTTTAATTATTTCATACGGAAACCTGAACGAGGGAGCACTGCCTCTACCACTGGCACCCCGAAATTCAGCCACCAATGGCCGAGGAAGAAATAAACTCAGCCCCGCCTCCCGCCCAGAACCACTCATCTTGCCCTTGACCGGCAAACTGAAGGCGACGGAGGGCGCCTCATATAGCGATACGTCAGGCTACCGCAACCGACCAATAAGAACCCATCCGATCCCTGCCCGCAGCCAACAGAAACGCGGCTTGAGAACCGGCGTCGTC